GCATCCGCGACAAAACCAGTACACGGATCCTCATTCCATCCGCCCATCACCCCCTCTCCCCTCTCCGTTACGTGGCCACGCCACGTTTCAACTCAACTCACCCAACCATCCCCTCCCTCGCACTTCCGGCTCCGTGGTCTGCATCCTCAGCGGCAGCCCCCTCCTCCATCCGTCCCCCTATCCTCCCCTCCCCTTATTTCTCCCTCTCCTCGCCCCCTCTATTCCCCTTCTTTTCATCCGTTCCTCCACTCCCCTCCCCCGTCCCATCTTTCCTGCGATCCCCTTTTCTCCCCCTCCTTTTCAAAAAATCCAAGTTCATTTGCATATATGACTGCGGTTCAGGTCCGAGTTGCAAACAATTTTTGGGTTGATGAGCTGCTTGAGGATGTGGTTGGAAAGCTAGAGAGCTGAGTCTAAAATTTTTATCTCGCATGTGCATAGAGAATATCTCTGCAAAGTTTCAGTTTTCTACATTGCCTGGTTTGCGAAATCGTTTCAAACCAACATATTTCTTTGAGAGTCCCGTACGCGAGGTCTAGGCGCTTATGGGGAAAAATCTTAAAAACGGGAGGATGACACACGGAATATCAACATATATTCAAAGTTTCAGCCTCTCAGATTCCCTGGTTGCTGAGATGAAAATGGGTGACAAAATGCACTCGTTTCCCGAACATACACACACAGACAGCCTCTTGACAATATGCATTTTTGCTGGCTGTAGCAGCCAGCAAAAATGCATATTGTCAAGAGGCTGTCTGTCTGTGTTCGGAAAGCGAAAACGCATAAAAATTCGGCCCAGATCGGCTCGGCTGGTGGTCTATAGCGCTTGGGCCTTCCAGCGCTTTGCCCTATCATCTCCGCCAATATTATTTCGCGGCGCTGCTCGCTGGAACTTAACCAGACGCGCTGGGCAGCGCTGCCCAGTGTCTGGCAGCTGAATCGCTTGACTGGGAGGTGATGGGTGGGAAGATTGGGCGTGGTTGGGAGGTGTTGGTTGGTAGTTGCCCAGATACTGCTTAGAGGGCACGATTGAGGCCACGACAATGGAGAGGAATGAAGTTGCTGCTTAGGAGTTCAGGACGATAAACGGTGAGAGTGGTTGGAGGTGATGGGTGCCCCAATGCAGGCAGGGTTTGGGGACAGGATACAGGAGGGGAAGAGGGGTGCTAGTCAGGAGTTCGAAGCAAGAATTGCAGATAGCAGTAAAGATGAAAATAAACCAACACGGCACTACAAAGAAAAGTAAATTAAAACAAACCTGAATTTGTGAATAAAAGGAAAAAAAGCAAAACCAGTGTTTATGCTCAGATGAAGCTGAGGCAAATAAGTTCGACAGGATTTACTGAAACTTATGCTTAGGTGAAGTTGAGGGCAAAGAAGTCCAGTTGGATTACACAGGAATTGCAGACACTTCCACAGTGTTGTCTCTTGCAGCCTGCAACTGTGCACAACAGTTATACCTTTGTTTTTTTGTCTTCAAAATCTCACAGAAGCAAAGGCTGACTTCATCCCCAGGCATTCATTCTACCCTGTTTTTGCCCACTTCATGGAACTTATTCGCTTTCAGCTTTACCTAAGCATGAGTTTCACAAATAGGGAAGCTCAATGACGGGTTTTTGTGGAACAACTTTTCCTCAGCATCAGTTTCATAAATAAGGCTTTTTGTAGAGCAACTTTACCTAATCATCAATTTCATAAATAAAGAAGCTTAATGACGGGTTTTTCTGGAACAACTTCACCTAAGCATCAGTTTCATAAAAAGAGAAGTACCAGCAGCACACTTCCTCATCCTTTCCGCTCTTCACCGCTCCCCTCTCCCCTCAAATGTATGTTACTTAGTCAATCGGCAAAGCATCTACGCCACTTGTCCTTATATCTACCTATCCTAGCCCTCCTCCCCTGCCTCGAACGAAACCCACCACACAGCACCCCATTTCCACCTCCCACATTCAAACTGCCGCCATCCGCCGTGGGGCAGCCCTATCTGACGTCGGCAGAAAAGATTTTTTGCGGCTTGTGTATGAGACGAGTCGAGCAGCGCCAGGCCGATTTTTAGTAGTTGCCGTGAAATGAGGTTGGCAGCGAAGCTAGTGTAACGACGAGGGGGGAGGGAGGGGGGAGGGGGGGCGGCAATAGTTGCCGTGTGAAAAGAAGCTAGGTCAATCAGCAATAGTGATAGGGCGAGTCGGTGTGTAGTAATTGCCTTTTATGGCTTGAAGCTCTCTCATGGGAATGGCACGCTGCAATGTTTCGCAAACTCGGGCGTGCTGGCAGCTACTGGGATTCGGCTCAGTCACGTAACACGCAGTCGTTTTTGAGTTCGGGTTCGAGCTGAGGAAGTTGCGGTGTCAAATCTTTTGTCCAGATGAGGTTCCAGATGTCGCATTCAAGACTGCTAACTTCTCCTTAGCATCAAGCTTTGGGCTGAGTGCTCCATAAACCCTACCCCTGTTTCGAATTGTTACTTCAATCGAGGTCCTTCCAGTCTCGCGTCCTCTCCTCCCTTGCGATGTCCAACATCTAAAACACCATCTCGATCCCTCCCCTGCGTGCCACCCTGAACTCCCTATCCTTCCGTTATTTCGACTCGTCTCCTGAAGCGGCTGGGCCGGGTTTTCGTAGTTGTGTTTTGTTCAAATAACTTGAGATTTGGAGGGTTTGAGGTCTGTTATTTTGTGTGGAGCAAGTAAAGGGATGTGGTGTGTTTGCAGTGCTAAGGTGGCTCGGGTCGTTGGGAGATGTGAGCAGTCCTCCCTTGTTTTGCATACGTGAAATTGTCGGCTCTATGCAGCTAGCAGCTTCTCCACTTGTTTTGACTAGTGCTGCGTCGGTTGTTGGGGTAGGTCAGCTGGCTGTCCTGACGTTCGTTTCATCCCCTGAACTGCTAACGAATTCGCGGTTCTCTCGACGGAACAAGCGCAGTGCACACCGGCGATATATCGAAATGGCAAGCCATTGCTGTTCGCTGAGCATTACCATTATATTCGGGTTTTTCTGGTCGCACTGAGCGCTCGTTGGGCACTTCGGAAAATTGGTCACCAAATTCCTGCCCATCCGAGATTGCTGATCGCGCTGCGTTTTCGGCTGCTCACTGAATCTCGAACTTTGTGCGGCGTACTGCACTGCTCTAGAGCAGCTGGTTGGGCGAAATATGTGCAGTGAAGAAATCGGACTGTTTGACAGTAGGGGGAACGTACAGGTGCACAGCAAAGAGGCCTCCTCGAGGGATCGGCGAAACCTCATTTCGGAGGGATGCCCTGTAACATAGCCCCAACTCTGCTTGCCGAGCATATGTGCATGTGATTTAAAAGAAGCATGAGAGCCGTTCGGTGTATTGCTCTCGTTGCGCTTGCGGCCTGGATTTTACTTCTCACATCGGTTCTTCTGATAAGCTTGCTGTGGTAATGAGTTCGTGCTGTTCGATCTCTTGAATTTGGTACTGGCATTTCTAGCTTAGCGGAGTGAGACTGCCATCGGCTTGCTTCCAGCCCTTGGAAGAGACATTCTGGTTAACTCGTTGTCGCCGCTCTCATTGTTCTGCCATTTGGGCAACTCCTGAATATTTCGCTTTTCTCTAGTCAGTGGGATACAAAATATTTTTTGATATTAATTCTGTAATGGTTGCATTTCCAGGTTCTTTTGCATTTTTGCAGGCACGCAAATGCAAAAACGCATACTGGCAAGAGACTGTTTGTCTGTGTGTTCTAATCGTTTATCACCCATTTTCAAGTCGAGAACCGGAAAAGCTAGGAAGCTGAAACTTCGGGAGTGTTTGTTCGCTCCATATGCGACTCTTCTGTTTTAATATTATCACTCGTGTACACCTGGACACGAGTGATAATATTAAATTCATACAGCGGAAGGTGCAGGAGGGACGAATTCTGCGTTGCCTGGTTTGTGCAGGTCGCTTTCAGTCATCGTGTCTGACAAATAATCTTTGCAGCTTGGCGCATGGCTTCTCCGAATCCGGGTTCGTCGCACGATTTATCCAGTGAATCGATGGTGCTGTCACCGCAGAACTCGGTCGATCAAAAGGGAGACGTCAAGTTTACATTTCCCACAAAAAAGAGGAATACTTTGATACTAACGACTAATGTACTGGGGACAGAAAAAGATGAAAGCGATGCAACTGTGGTTGAAGTTAAACGCCAGCGACTGACCCACTGGGAGAATGGTGAATTGACAAGGTAAGTTATTTTGTCATCGTTAAAATGCAGTTTTTATTCCAGTGCAAATACAGTCCGTGAGATTGGAGAGGCCGTGCGGAGTTATTATATGGCTGCCGGCTGAAACTCTGCTACCTGCTGCATATCCATGGCGAAAAAGGACAGGACTGCTTGAAATGTCTGGTTCATTTCGTTGTGGCTGCGGAAGAAGATGCAGCATTGCTGTGATCTTCTTTTCTCAGCGTTCATTCTGCTCAGTCACGGCAGCATGAATTAGAAACAACAGAAACTGAAAAACAGAGCATAACATAGGCAGCGACAGTGGCGGCGACGATACATTAATGCGTGTGTTGTTTTGTGCATCTCACAGCCCGATGTGCGATTTTCTTCCTCACGTTATTCCTGTATCTCCCAAAGACATTGGCGCTGTCAGATTCTTTCTCGAGCAGACCTGTGCTGCTCAAGCAGTTGCATTTTGCGAGTCATTATTTGATGAAGTAGGTTCCCGAAGATCCGACCTTTCAGTCTACTAATTAGAAATTCTTGCGCACCTTTTTTTTTTTTTCAAAATCCCCCAATGATTCTGCACCTGCCGTCTTGCTCTTCCAGCTGGTCCTCTGCTTACCTAGAACTGCTGCTGGTTCTTCATCGCAAATTTCTCCCTCTTATTAGCGCTTTTGAGCAGTAATTGTCAGTTACTTCTTCGTAACATTGTTCTATTAGCAGCTTATATTGTATTTTAAAGTCCTTTTGCGTACTTTATTCATGTTTACTTCCCCTTCTCCCATAGCCGCATCACTTCCGAGGCAGCCTGCCCGTGCTTTAAAATTGCCGACCATCGAAATTTTACGTGCCGTGTCTGAGTGCATGCTTCCGTCTGGACTTGTGAAGATTATGTGCTATTTGTTCTAACGGAGGGAATTTTAGGCCGGATGAAGAAAGGAAATCGGCCTTCAGTGATCTGGTCATACCAGCGACGCTGCAAATGGATTGGAGAACTCAGCGATTACTGCAGCGGAAGGTGGAGGGCAAGTTGAACGAGGAGGAACAAGCCAAGCTTGAACTTCTTGGCGAGGCTGCTGCCTCCTCCCTTCAGAAGGCAAGTTGCTATCTCAGCATATTTTTCACTTCCTGCTCCTACTGTCTTGGGTCAGTTATTGTTCGCTGTAGACAACTAGTTTTTCAGGATGCAATCGAAGCTTATGAATCTGTGAGCAGTGTAGATGCTGACTATGATGCGGTACCGATAGACGCTTTTGGACTGGCTGTGTTGCGAGGGTGTGGCTGGCGTGAAGGTGAAGGAATTGGGAAAACCAATAAAAGGTTGACACATTTTAAGTATTTTTCCCTTTTTCACCTAAGCCTTTGGGAGAAGGACCACCCACAGCCGTTTTCGAGCTGATGATTGCTGCTGGCAAAGTGCTGTCATTGCGAACACTTGCTGGTAACCTCCCTCTTTCAGACAGAAATCGAACGGCTGAAATAAAAGAAAGATTTTGACATCGACTTGGATAGACATACAACTAAATTGATTGGTATTAAAAGCATAGAATTAGTATTGTCCCCGTTTTATCAAATATGTTAAAGTTTATTTTTGTAGAAGAATCGGCGAATTGTTGCAGCTGTTTGATTGTCTTTTAGTTCAGGATCTCATTTTTTAGAATTGTACCACTACGTGTCTCGTCGAGAAGGCCGCAGGGGCTCGGTGTTGGTGCAGAGCGTGTTGTGCAACAGCAGTCAGCACAAAACGATGCAAAAGTTAAAGAGAAAAAATTGAAGAAATCATCACTTGTGAAGGTCACTGGAGGCATATATAGGTAGCAATTGTTGTGATAAAAATGTCTATGATTTCATAAGATCCCTGTTTTTATCATAGCCTTCTGGTGGGATATATGGATTGTGAAAATTAGTCGTAAGAATTGCGAGAAATTGTAAGCGGCCTTGAAAAGCCAGTATTAGGAGATGAAGATGAGAGAGGAGGAAGGTAGTCGCAGATGAAACACATATGGAAACACGTCTCGAAGAGTCAGAAGCACGTATTTGCCGAGTCACATGCTGTGAATATAAAATATTTCACTGCATTCTATACCGTGCCCTCGTTCATTCACTGAAAAAAATTTTTTTTGTCCATATTCAGTAGGAGCATGTGTCTTTAATGCAGTAAAATATTGCCTGCAGGGGTTTCTATGGCAGAGTGGAAAGCGTGGATGAAGACAATGCAAGTGTAATCGTTCAGCTTGCTTTGAATGGTAGAAATGTTCGCGTCAGTCAATTCGCGGTTGAGATAGTTGCTGCGAAGGAGTTCGATAAAAAGAGCAGCAGAACTAACGGTAACTTGTATCCGGTGTGCCGTGCTTTGCATATGCATTCAATTTTGTTCAGCATTTTTCCGTACAGAGAATGAGGAAGAAACTCGCTTTTGTTTCTCATTCTTTGTAAAGGATGATACCACTTTCAACTACACGGTGGCAAAGCTGTCATTGGTTCTTCCATTCGAAAATTGTTTGAGAGCAAGCTGAAAACGATTCAGTTTTTTGACTTACTAGATACCTGGAAAAGTTGTTAATTTACAATCTTCATTTCCACCTATTACAGCTGAGAATTTTTTTTTTTTTTTACTATGATTCTGTTTTTTCTACATCACACTTCTCAAAACGTCCAAATCGTTAAGACAAATTTTAGAGGGGTGTTTTCTGCCTGTGCAAGGACCTCACTCAGATTTAGTTTTCAGGTATATTGGGGTCTCACGTACGACCACGTTATAGTTTTGATGCGAAAAACATTTGAAAGGAGAAAATTAGGAGGTTGAAATTTTGGAGGCATGTCCATTTAAGTTCAGCTCTCACGTACCTTGACGTGAAATTTTCAGTGGGGGATTTTGCAAGTTAAGAACCATACAACATTTCAACTATTTTTCCACAGACAAAAGTCCAAAATAGTGAAAATCCTTAGCAGGTAAACGTTCGCTAGACGGAACTGCGCAAAACGCATGGTCGCGCCGACTATCATATTGCACACCGCTATTTATTCATCTTGTCGTGAGCAGCATTTAACTCTTCATTTAGTCCGTTTGTTATGTGCCACTCTTGTCAACTGAGTAGCTCAGCTTCTCTTCTCGGTTCACACTTTTTTTCCTTGTTTCAACTTTTACCTGTTTTTATGCGTTTTTTGCAGCAATGCAATGCGAAAAACGCATATTGACGAGAGGTTGCCTGTGTGTGTGTCTGTGTGTGTGTGTTTGTGTGTGTGTGTGTCTGTGTGTGCGCTGGGTCTCTGTACCGATTTTTCATCTCGAGACC